TTTCTTGGTTTATTAAATATGTTAGTTTTTTAAAAAAAAAATAGTTAGAATTTTCAAGAGATTTTTATTTTACGAACACAATTGCATAACTTTTTTTTTTTTAAAATAGTTTTGGGGTTGTATTGGTTTTTTAAATATGTTAGTGTTATTTAAATAAATGTAGAATTTTCGAGAGTTTTTTTATTTTACATACAAGTGTCCATTACTTTTGAAAATAATTTTGGGTTTGCCTTGATTTTTTAAAATATGACATTTTCTTTTTAAATAAAGTTATAATTCTCGCGTGTTTGTTATTTTATATACTTGTTTTCATTACATTTTAATTTTTCTTTTGAAATGTTTTTGGGTTGTCTATGATTTTTTTTAACATGTTAGTGTTTTTTTTAAATAAACTGATAATTCAAAGAGTTTTTTATTTTACATACATATTTATATGCCGAAAAAAAAAAACATACATGTTTATATTATGTTTTTTTCTTTTAAAAATTATTTTGGATATGTCTTGGTTTTTTTTAAACATGTTAGTATCTTTTTTATAACAGATAGAATTCTAGAGATTTTTCTATTTTACATAAATATTTTCTTTATATTTTATTTTTGTTCCTGAAAATGATTTTGCGTTTTTCTTGATTTTTTTTAAAAATATGTTAGTTTTTTTTAAATAAAGTTACAATTATCAAGTGTTTTATATTTTACATACATGTATCCAATACATTTATTTTAAATTTTGAAAATGATTTGGGGTTTGCCTTGATTTTTTGAGATATGTCATTGACTTTTTCAATAAAGTTATAAAGTTATTTTAAATTTCATTACGTTTTTTTTTTGCTTTAGAAAATGACTTTGGGATTTCCTTAGTTTTCTAAAACAAAATTAGAAATTTCGAGAGTTTTCTATTTTACATACATGATTTTATTATGTATTATTTTTCTTTTGAAAAAGGTTTTGTGTTTGTCTTGGTGTTTTTTAATAAATATGTTAGTGTTTTTTAAATAAAGTTAGAATTCTCAGGACTTTTTTATTTTAAGTACACATTTACATTAGATTTTTTTGCTTTTGAAAATTATTTTGCATTGTCTTTGTTTTTTCAAATATGATATTGTTATTTTTTTTAAAATTTAAAATTTCCAGAGTTTTCTATTTTACATACATGTTTTCATTACATTTAATTTTTGCTTTTAAAAATGATTTTTGGTTTGTCTTGTTATTTTTAAATATGTTAGATATTGTTTAAATAAACTTAGAATTATCGAGAGTTTTCTATTTTACGTACACATTTTCATTAAGTTTTAATTTTCCATAAAAAATGATTTTGAGGTTTTCTTAGTTTTTTAAAATATGTAATTGTTTTTTTAAGTAAAGTTTGGATTCTAGAGAATTTTAAATACACATTTTCATTAATTTTTATTTTTACATTTGAAAATTGTTTTGGGTTTGTCTTGGTCTTTTAAATATGATAGTGTTTTTAATATAGTTAGAATTTTCGATAGTTTTCTATTTTACGAATACATTTACATTATTTTTTTGTTTTCAAAATTATTTTGTGTTTATCTTGATTTTTTTTATTATACAATTTAGTGTTTTTTTATTATACAATTCAGTTTGTGTTGGTTTTTTTAATTATGTAAGTGTCTTTTTTAAAATAGATAGAATTCTAAAGATTTTTCTATTTTACATACATATTTTCTTTATATTTTATTTTTGTTCCTGAAAATGGTTTTGGGTTTGTCTTGATTTCTTTTAAAAATATGTTAGTTTTTTTTAAATAAAGTTAGAATTATCAAGGGTTTTCTATTTTACATACATGTTTTCATTATCTTTTATTTTTATTTTGAAAATGATTTTGCGTTTGTCTTGCTATTTTTACATATGTTAGTAATTTTTTAAATAAAGTTAGAATTCTCCAGAGTTCACTACTTTATATACAAGTTTTCATTATGTTTTAATTTTCCTTTAGAAAATGATTTTGTTGTTTTCTTTTCTTTTTTTTAAATATGTTAGTATTTTTTTAAAAGTTAGAATTGTCAAGAGTTTTCTATTTTATATACACATTTTCATTATATTTTATTTTTACTTTTGAAAATCTTTTTGGGTTCGTCTTGGTTTTTTAAATATGTTAGTGTTATTAAAATAAAGGTAGAATTTTCGAGAGTTTTTAAATTTACATACACGTTTTTATTATGTTTTATTTTTACATTTGAAAATGGTTTTCGGTTTTTTCTTGGTTTATTAAGTATGTTAGTGTATTTAAATATGTAAAGACCCGATTTCTACCCTTGAATTTTTTTCGTTTATTTTAATCATTTCTTACATACATTCACCATCTTACTTAAATTAAAACCTTCAGGAATCATTCCTTAAAAATACTCTTTACGCATATTATATTATCATATAATTTAAATTGCGGAAAAACATAATTCATTCATTATTATTCTCATTGGGTACTAAGAGCCCAAAAGTTATAATACTCTAAATATAACAATACCCCTGGTTACGAATACCCAAATAAATGTCAGTCATGGTTACAATCATTCAAATCCACAAGTAGTCATTTAAAGTACAAAAACGCAAATAGTGAATCCAACGTCTAAAGCTCCTAAAGCTCACGAACTAGCATACTCCATTCGTCTATTTACCTGCAATGGGATTATCAATGACAAAGGTACAAAACACACAAAGGAGTAAGTCGTTAATTCAATAAACGTCATTATAAGATAATCCACATTAGAAAAAGGGTTAGTAAACCAATTTCGAAATTCATTTTGTCTTGCTGCATAACTTGAGCCAAAGTCACTACACCCCTCAGGGTTAGCTAAAAGCAGATTCTCATCCTTTTAACCAATAAAACACGCCTCATAAACTCGGGCCGAAGTGTTGCTACATAAACTCGAGCCGAAGTCGCTACACCCCTTAGGGTTAGCTAAAAACAAATTCTCCTATCTTTTATAAAGAAAACATGTCGCGTAAACTCGGGCCGAAGTGTTGCTACATAAACTCGAGCCGAAGTCGCTACACCCCTTAGGGTTAGCTAAAAACAACTTCTCATCTCTTTTATAAAGAAAACATGCCGCGTAAACTCGGGCCGAAGTGTTGCTACATAAACTCGGGCCGAAGTGTTGCCTCATAAACTCGGGCCGAAGTGTTGCCTCATAAACTCGGGCCGAAGTGTTGCCTCATAAACTCGGGCCGAAGTCGCTAACCATTTCTGGTCGGCTAAAAATATATTTTTCCTTCCATCGATTTGCCATCAATCATTTCCCGTAAATCCACGTCATCTTTAGTATAAACACTCCATATCTGTTTATACTAATACGTGATTTACAATATAATTATTGCATGGCCAGGAAACACACACCTTTTCCATCTTCCGTAAATCTACGCCTACTTTAGTATAAACACATCCATATATGTTCATACTAAATGCGTAATTCACAACTCGATCATTTCATAACCAGAAAATACCCACATTTTCTTTTTCCGTAAATCTACGCCTACTTTAGTATAAACACACCCATATATGTTCATACTAAATGCGTAATTCACAACTCGATCATTTCATAACCATAAAATACTCACATTTTCCTTTTCCGTAAATCTACGCCTACTTTAGTGTAAACACACCCATATATGTTCATACTAAATGCGTAATTTACAACTTAGTCTTTGCATAACCAGAAAATACACATTTTCTATTTCAAATGCAACATTAAAGACTTATCCTTACCTCGATGAGTGTTGGGTTTGGTTCTTGGCAACTTCTCAAGTTCCACCGACACCGCCTCCAACCTTAAGATCTCTCTTCATCCCACCACATAACACAATGTTAGTCATTTATTCCAAATATCACATAAACAACTTATATTGCATCATTTAATCATACAAAATATTCATCATCAATATTCAACCATCTAAAACATGCATAACATCTCATATTTCAATATTTCCAAAACTACTTCAATACAAGTTTCTAAATATCAAAGCATACATGTTCATCTCATATAACAACATCAAAGCACTACTCATTATCCACATCTAACATTTCATCCCTTTCTCTTTATACTCGTATTCTTATTTTGGGGGGTTTTTGGGGGTTTTTCATGAATAACCTATAAAACTTTCCATTCATCAAATAACAACTCTAAACCAAGAGTTTACAAGATAAAAAACAACATAAAACGAACCATAACTCTAAAGGATGAGTTTCCATGGTTTCTCGTGTTTTGAAAATAAATCCAACATACCCAAAACAAGTTAGAGAGGAAGAAGAAGAGTTAGTAACAAGAGGTTTACCTCTTCTCAAGCTCCAAGATGAGTCCTAAGGCTCCTTGCTCTTGAAAATCTCTCATTTCTCTCTTCTCTTCGAAGTTCTAACTCAAAAATGTGTTTAGGTTTCTGTTTTAAAGAGGTGTCGTCGGGTTGTAATCGATTACCAACATGGTGTAATCGATTACAACGTGAAAAATACGCATATCTGATGCTTTTAATACGATGTAATCGATTACCAGAAGTGTGTAATCGATTACCAGAAGTGTGTAATCGATTACCAGAAGTGTGTAATCGATTACCATAAGTGTGTAATCGATTACCAGCAGAGTGTAATCGATTACCAGCAGAGTGTAATCGATTACCAGCAGAGTGTAATCGATTACCAGCAGAGTGTAATCGATTACCAGCAGAGTGTAATCGATTACCAGCAGAGTGTAATCGATTACCAGCAGAGTGTAATCGATTACCAGCAGAGTGTAATCGATTACACTGTGTCAGATGCACATATCTGATGCTTTTAATACGATGTAATCGATTACCAGAAGTGTGTAATCGATTACACTGTGTCAACAGCCCAAAATTGCCATTTCTCGCCCAGGCGAGACAACTCTCGCTCAAGCGAAGCTTCCAGGACTGTTACTATAATTTTAAAGATTAAAATTTGGGGTGTTACACTAGTAATAAGGTTAAGCCTAGTAGTAGTGTTTGTAATATCATGTCACTTCACAGTTTTTGTTATATCATTTTTCACTTAGCAAAGACCTTCACAGTTATTAGAGATGATAAGAAAAAGACAAAAATGTCAAGAATGGGATTCGAACCCATGCCCTTTCGGACCAGTACCTGAAACTGGCGCCTTAGACCAACTCGGCCATCTTGACACTTTTGTTTTATGATGCAAACATTATTAATATATATATATATATTTCACAAATGTTAATGATTAGGACTAACACAAAATGTAGGGTTGAGATGTTTGCAACATATAATCAATCTTTAGGTCCAAGTCTTGTTATGTTTCTAATTATGATGGTTTTATATTGCTCTTGAATCTTGATCCATTTCTTATTCTATTTCCAATTCCAAATTAGAAATTATCACTTGTAGGTTTTGGGTCCAAGTCGATTTTACTAGTACCTCACTATAGGCTTAGAGAGGTGAAAAGCCAAGAAGGTTGACCCTTTCTAATATGAATCTTCATTCATGGCCCTTGGAGGTTATATGTTGTTATTGTTGCTTCAAATTGAAGTCTTCAAAATAGTTATCATATTTATCACATATCAATACTTTTTAGATATGTTGTATTTATGTATCTTTCAATTATTATATGAATTTTTTATGTATTATGTGTCTCATATTTATATTTGTGCTCCATATCTCTTCATATTCAAGGATTGTGAATGAGATTAATACGAAACACATTATATAAATACAACATAATAATATTGAAAACATATGAGTTATATTCTATTATGTACACAGAATAAGACAAAAGACGTAAAATATAGTGGAAAGAAGGAAAATAGAATTGAACATCTCATTATATATTATAAGTAAACCATATACTAAGTGAAAAAAATACTTAATAAGGATTTCTTATTGTAACTCCATTGAGATTTTAGGAGCATTAACCATTTTCAATGGATTGGCTTCAAGAAGGAATGGTATAATAACAATTTGTCATGATTAACTTTTCAGAACCAGTTCATGGGCTATCATAAATCAAAACTTCAATAAAGTTAGATGACTAGCATAATGCTAAGAAAGAAGATAGAAAAGTGAGTAATGGTTCACATACAAAATTAGGATCCAAATATGTTTCTTTTACACCAATACATTTATACAACATTGTTTGCAACAAACAAAAATCATAGTATACAAGATTGTATCAATACTTGGTCTAATTTTTATACTTGAAAAGCTTTTTTGCATCATCATCAAATAAAACATCAGTAGTTATTATTTTTTAATAGTGTATTATACAAATCAAAGATTCTCAATCATTTGACAATGCATGATTGATTAATTGTGTATTATAATAGAATATGAGTATGTTTTTCACAAAGGCTACTTATTAATGTTTGTATATGGTTTTTAAGTTTCTTTTACCAAATTTATAAAATAAAAACTAAAAAACAAATTACCACATTATATATTTTAACTATAAATTTTACTCAATAAAAAAATTCCACCAGCTAAGATATTTTTCTACCAAATTTATTTCATCATGATATGATATGAATAATAAATTAATCTTTGTGGTTATGTCTACCAATAAGTTGTTACTCATATAGATTGAATCATTCTAAAGATATTTTTTATGTCTATTTAGCATTTTCATTGCCTTTTCTTCATTTATTTCTCTCACAGCAGTTTCTTCCTTCTTTCCTTTCATTCATATCACTTTTTAATTTCATTATTTTTCTCCCTATCTCTTTTTTGGTGATGTGGATGAGATTACCTGTCCTAAAATGATGTCTTCATTCCTGGTCAATTTTAAAAAGGAAAAGAAATGCAAGAAAAAAAGAAGAAAAAAATGCAAGTGATGTAAATTTTTTAGATAAGATGGCGATATCTAATTGTCTGGGACGGAGATGGGATACCATTTTGGGACCGGTTTGCTACTTTACGCGTTTCTGAAAATTTTTCTGAAAATTAAAATAGAAATTTAATGTTTAAATGCTACCCCTTTGTTTCCTCACTGATTTTGTACAGAAATTTTGTTTGCTTCACTTTTGATCCTCAAAAGTTTTCAACTTTGCAGAACAACATACAAAGGGTATATTATTCTGCTCAAGTTAAGTTTACTTGGTTCCCTAGGTGAGACTTTCTCTTTTGTCACATCACTTTGGTTTCTTTGCAATGACCAATGATTGATAAAGGATCTTTTTCTGTGTGTGTGTGAATTTGAAATTCACTCCTATTTTAGTAAAGATGATAGAATCATGCCTTAGTTGGTTTCGATATTTGTGAAGGAGGCATGGGAAGTCTCGTAAGGAGAGTAGATCTAATGAAGTTTAGTCCAATTCGTAAAGGAAAAATGAGACCAGGAAACATAATAGGAGAAACGGTTAGGAAAGTTTAGAGATAAGTTATGGCATAACGTTATGATGTTGTTCGACCTTGCATAATGGGATTAAGGTCTGGTTGTTGTTGATCTGAATTTGAGTTTTATGGGATTTTTTCACTTGCCTATTTTCGGAACTGGATTCTAAGCTCTAACCTCTTCAGGTCATGATCTGTTTTTTACACTTTTTCTGTCAGTACCACTATACTTAGATCAAGGAGGTGAGAACTTATTTGAGCTTATGAGAATAGCTTATTCAATAACTTGTGAGAGAAATGTGTGATCTTTCTATAAGGTTTGGTTAGCTTACTTCAATAAGCATGTCAAAGAAGCTTATGAAAATAAGTGTTTTTAGCTTATTCTAGACAAGCTCATTGCATAATCTCTAATTAAGCTGTTTACCCAATCACACACTAAATTACCTCAGTTTCTTTGTAATTGTAATGAGAAAAAACCCATTTTTTTGGGGTGTGAATTCCGGTTTGTAAGGATTTTTTTACTTGTCCATTTACTAACGCGGGTTCTAACTTCTAAGTACTAACCCCTAAGTTCATGTTTTCCAAATGTGTACTTTAGGGACTTGAGTATTGGAGCATTGATCATAAGCAGTGATGCCACTCTTCTCATTTATATCTCACTGTTTCCTCCCTAATGGAAGTCGTAACCACCCAATTGCTTCTGAGGTGAACGGTAGCAAATTGGTGCCTGTCGATTCTGAGGGTTCAATTAGTGTTGTCGATCAGAATGTGCTTGTTGGTTCTAAGGAACCAAGCAGCTTGGTTGAATCAGTGCCTGTGATATCTGCGTCACCAAGTAGTCGTGGTAAACCACTTTTGGTTGATTTTGAGGTACTGAACAGCGAGTGCCACAGAAGTGAGATATTCAAGTATTCCGAACTTGAAGAAGCTACCGACAATTTTGACACTAGTAGAATACTTGGAAAGGGAGGCTATGGGACAGTATACTCTGGTAAGAACATCCCTTATATTTCACTTTTTAAAGTTAGTAACTAGATTTTGTTTTTTATAAGGAACTTCATTGTTATGTTCATGGATGCTGAAATTTTAGAACTTTTTGTTATCTAGCATATGCAATTCACTATGTACCTCTTGTATGAGCTATTGACTATGGTAGTATGTGCCGTTCAGGTCTGTTGATATCTTCTGGTTTAAATTTCATCAACAAATAAGTAATCTTTCATTTCTCGATTCCTGAATGACGACATAGACAACACAATTTCCTGGATGTATGACTCTATAAAAATCTAAGTGTAGTTAAAGACCTGTATTTGAAGTTTGAATGCCATAATTTATTTCACATTTTCAATTTTATATGTATCAATCTTTCTTTTCGCCACTGTGAAAGGGATGAAACAAGAAGAAAGTTGCAATTTCTCTTGTTTTTTCTTTCATTTTAAGGACTCATTTGTTGATTGCTGATCAGTTGTTGGAATGTATTTCCCGGTTCCAATAATTTTTTTTGTAAATTATGCCAGTAAATTTAAAAAAATGCGAAAAGGTAGACTGAAGAGTTGCAATGATGGTGGTTGTCAAAAGCATATGTAAATGACATTAGTTCAGTAAAATGTTGAGGAAGAAGGAAGAAAATGAATTTCAAATATAGAATAGAAGCACTGAGCAAAGGCTTGTGTGGGCAAAGTTAGCATTATCGTGAATTCGTGATGGTAATTATTGTCAATTATCGCATAATGTTAAAGCTGAATAGCTGATAATTTAGTGATGAGAAGCATGTATAAGTGAGATTTACCGGAGTCATATAACAAGATTTACAGAGTAGGAAAATGAAATAATTGATATATTGACTCAATTTTGTTTATATTATAGGAATACTTAAAGATGGGCGTCGTGTTGCAATTAAGCGCATGCATGCATTCAAGATGTTAAGATTACATGATGAGAAGCTTCACAAAGAGAGGCTTAGAAAGTTCATGAATGAAGTTGAGATGTTAACCAGCTTGAGCCATGAAAATCTTGTCCAACTTTATGGCTGCACCTTTCCTCAGGGTCGTGAACTGCATCTTGTTCAAGAATACATTCCCAGTGGAACGGTTGCTCATCATCTACGCCGTGAAGGCACTCTCACATGGTCTACTCGACTAAAAATTGCGGTACAAACTGCAAGTGCATTGGCTTATCTTCATGCTTCCAGTATAATCCACCGTGACGTGAAAACCAGTAACATTCTCCTTGACAGTAGTTTGAATGCTAGAGTTGCAGACTTTGGATTATCACGCCTTATCCCGCACGGTGTTTCACATGTTACCACTGATCCTGCTGGGACTCCAGGTTATATTGATCCAGAGTATTACGAACAGTGTCATCTTTCTGATAAAAGTGATGTATATAGCTTTGGAGTAATATTGGTTGAGCTAATATCATCCTTGCCAGCATTTAGCGAGGATGATAAGCAGCCGTATCTTTCCGATTTCGCCACAGAGAAAATCCTTTGTGGACATCTCGAAAAGCTCGTTGATCCAGCTCTTGAATTTCAGTCAGATGAGTGGATAAGTGAAACAATTACTGCAGCGGCGGAGTTGGCATTCCGATGTCTACAACGCCAAAGAGACATGAGACCTTCCATGGGTGAGGTGTTAAATACCCTTGAGAGCATTAGAGTTAGAAGCTCTAAAAGTGCCCTTACTTGGGATCCTAATAGTTATTACAAAGCTACCAAAGTTCAGATTGTGTCCACCTTGCCTCATGATTATTTTGGGAAGAAATAGTATAAAAGCACTTTTAGATTTCACAATATGCTCATGAATCTACTTGTTGGATAACATATTTTTGAACAATCT